CTCATCAACTTCTAAAAATTCAAAAATAGCATATCAACTTTCAATAAATGATATTATTTGGCATATTCTTAATAATCTGTCATTAATGAAACATATATACTTTGGTCCAGGTATTAATTTTGAAATAAAATCAAAATACTATCGCAGCGGTCTAAAAGATATTATAATAATAACATATACTATTTATAATAATTTTTAATGTCAATTATCATTCAATGATAATCTGAGGCTCCCATTCAGTTTGTTTCAGATATGGTTTCAAAAGATCTGCATGTGTGGGGTTCTTTCTAACTCGTCCATCTAAGGTACGAAGTTTATAAGTACTAGGTCTCATAATGTTGTGAATATAGAAAGGTCTATCAAATTTATCTTTAAATTTGTCTTCATGAATATGTGATTATGTTACGTTAAATAGTAAAACTTTATCCCCAATTTGATAAAAAATTCCAGGTTAATTCTTATTGTAACGTTTCTGTTGCTATTGTTGTCGTTGCATTATATTCTGTTGTGCATCTAATCGTCGTTGTTGTAATTGCGATGGTATTATCTGCTGGTGCTTTTTCATAGCATTTGATAGGTTACTGATAGAAGAAGATCGTCGCAATTGTAAATCTATTGGTAGAACTGCTTTTCATCCATATAATAATTTGAATGGCTCAAATTTTGTTATTCTGTGCTGTGCTGTACGATATGCAAAAAGTGCTGAAGTTAAATACATATCCCATTCTCTATGGTGTTGTTCAGCATACTTTGCTAAAATGGTACATAATATTCTATTAAAACATTCTGTCAAGCTATTAGTCTGGAAGTGGTATGGTGAAGATAATCTATATTTAGTTCCAACTATATGTAATAGTGCAGTAATTAATTCATTTTGAAATAATGTTGCTCTATCGGTTAATATCTCTTTTGGCATTCCATGTCGACAAATAATTTCATTGTACATAAATTGCGTGGTAGTTTGGGCAGTACAATCTAATGTAGTGCTAGCTTCAACCTATTTAGTCAAATATTCAGTTACTACAATGATATACCGATTTCCTTTAATAATGCATGGAAGTGGGTGATTTTATTATCATATTTTATGATAAAAGTCACCTCTGACAATTCGAATGTGATATAATTACCATAACTTTTGTTTTACAAATATATATTATTTTTGAGTTTGATAAGTTTCAATATAACTTGTACCTTCTTGATTATTTCTGCCACTCATTATCAAGAGGATTTGTTTTACAAATTAATATTTAATTGCTAAGAATTCTTTTCTACATTTTAAGCAATTTGTCTTATAATTTCTTTACAATGTTATTATTGTTTAAATATTCGTTATTATTCTTTCTAATATATATTTCTTCTGAGTTACGATTTCGTAAATATCTTCTAACTGTTACTTTCAAATGATACTTCTTACTTCAAATTATTACTTCTGAATATTATTTTCGTATATTATTTTTGAATATTACTTCTAAATATTACTTCTTACGTTTAAGTATTTATTAAGTTTGTATCATAATTTTCATAATTCTTTTTGAGTTTTATTTTTGCATTATTTCATTATTGTCTTTCTTAATTTTTTGGGTTTCTTTCTAAGTTTCATTTCTGCATTATTTTATTAATGTCTTTCTAAATTAAAGTTTATATACAAGTGAAATAACTTTATTTATTTCTATAATTTAAATGTCCAACAATTAATTAATTCAAACAAAAGTATTCATTTTTATTTATGTTAATAGTTTATTTATTAAAATTTTTTTTATTATTTGAAAAATCGAACATTAAACATGTTGTTTCTTAAGGGAATCCAAAGGGTTTATTAGTTCAGAGTGTAGTAATGGACTATATAATTCTATGCGCTGTTTGACTCAAATATTCACATTTCCTTTGCTTAATAATTGAGTCAATAAGTATAAATTCTAAATTAGTAAAAATAACATATTATTTATTTACATTTTATTATTTACATTTTATAATAAATACAAATAAACAAAATAAAATTTGTGAAACTGCTAAAAAAAATAAATTTTTCAGTTGTTTGTTATCATAAAAATTAGTCGTTCTTCTTCAGTCTTCCTTTCTCATAATCTTGTGCAAATCTGAATCCATTAAAGACTTTTGTAAGTAAACTGCTTAAAATAAATGTCGTTAAGTGAACGAACTCTTAACACTGCAATAAACAAAAGACTGACAGCAAACTCTCAACTTCTAAGATCTATTTTGACTTTTGGTAACATAAGCTCCTGGCTTTTATGTACCATTATTACCCATGCGAGACATATTAGAACCTAAGTTCAAGAATACATCTTACCAGATTTACTTTTTCAGATGTGTTTAATAAAAATAATTGGGATAACTTTGTCCTCTTCTGGTGTTATAATACTAAAGATCGAATTTTACGAAAACTGCTAGTAGTGAGGCTAGTCCAGTTTCCATGAATATAATATCTTATATAGTTCTCATTAACCTATTTACTAATCTTCCTTTAGTTCATATATTAGCCATCAGCATTACATGTGCATCTTTAACCAGTAACAACTGTGCTTTAAGTTCTTTTGCAATGTTTGAGTCAGCTTTTTTCAGCCTCAAGACCTCTAGTATGAACTGCAAGAATCTTGGCTACTGAATAGTTTAACAAGCTCAGCATATCTATATTAACTCTATTTACGTCATCCTAAATAGTAAGGATAAATACGGTATCCAAAAATCTATCACATTCTGTCTTATTTAATTTCCCTTCAAAATGTATATTGAGTTTTTTCTAATCATCTAGACTGCAATCTCTGTCTCATAACCTTAAAAGAATTTCTCTAAAACATTTTGTTCTTCTGAATCACTTGATTGACATTGAATTACTTCGAGTTTATACACCTCCTGGAAATTTTTGTATAATATTATACCATCGTTAGAAGTTGTATTACGTAAAATATCTTTGACATATATAGGAAAGTTTATCACTAGTGGAAGCTGTCCAAAATCTCCAAACAAGATGATGGATCATCCACTGAAAGGTTCATTATTGTTTTTAGGAAAGGCTTCTTTTATTTTTTTGTCGATTAAAACAAGCATTCTTCTCCTTATCATGCTTTTTTCATCAATAATAAGGTAAATTACATCTTTTAATCCTTTTTGTAATTGCTTAAGTCTGTTACCATCTAAATCTGAGCTTTTTTATTGAAAATTGATATCGACAGTGTTAAATGTATTGTTAAACCATTAATATAAAAGAAGCAACTTCTGTAGGTGTGATTACCTTCACTGGTACTTTAGATCTACTGCTTTCCATTGTATTTAGCTTCTTTCATATTGCCCTAATAAAATACGATTTTTCTGTGCTTGCCATATCTATAAATCACCCTGTTCATATGAATAAAGTATTGGAATGCTTTTGTTAGATAACTAGATATTTAGAATTTGGTAATAGGAAAACCATTGATCTCTGACTACAGTAAAGTTGAATTATTGCTTTGTATGTAATTAAGTATGTCATTAATAGTGATATCCTCCCTTTGTCTAGAGTATTTGAAAGTATAAACAAATGTATTATTCCATTATCTCCACTTTCTTTATCTGCTGAAATCTTGTCTATTAATCGATTGTTCTGTATCTGCAGAAGTATTTTGTCAATAGAATCATTTTCAGGTAAAGATTGAAGAATTTTTTGATCGATAATTATGTCTTCGTAATAACAGTTATTTGCTTTTAGCCACACTAGAGCATTACTAACTTTACCTCATGAAGTCTCTAAAAGTTGTTGAATTTGCTGATTGCTAACATATTACAGTACATCTAGAGATGATAGATTCTGTGAAAGCCGATTTGTGAATTCTTGAACATTTTAAGAAAAGTTAATGACATTTCCCCTATATCTGGTTTGTCTTCTTCAAAGTCGATATATTTTCATAACAGTGAACACTTGTGTTATAAGCATTTCTTTGATTTCTGTCAGCCCTTTAAATTCATTAAGAACGTCACCTAGATCTATATTATTTTTTGCAGAAAATTTATTAGATAATATCTTTTTCATGTAGCATTGCTGATATTTTTCTTTAACGAAAAACATTGATGGGATTCGCTCATTACATATGGGATATGATGAGAATCGATTTTTTTGCGAAAGTTTTACAACATCTGATGTTCATCTTCACTAATGGTTTGTGCTTCTTTTGGTAGTGTGTCAGAATAGGTTTAAAATTGTTTAGTCTAGGAAATATACTGAAATAACTTTTTAAATCTTACCCGCTTATGGCTATACTATTTATTCACCAACCAATAGCCAGTGAGAAGAGGTAATTATTTTGGCAATGAGAGTAATTATTTAATTTCTTTTCTTTAACTAGTCTACTGATTATTGAAAAAGCATTCGCAATGACAAGAAAATATAATTGGTTATTTTTGTTATAAGCATACTATCAAAATTGCTTTTTGGCTCACTTTTATTCTCAATTTTCCTTTTGTTCTCCCTCATTTTGACTGAACTAAAATCATTAAAATTTTACTTAAGAGTTCCAGACGTTTTTAGTAAAAAAAACACTTGACTATTTATTTTCTCTGTCAAGAACTAAACCAAAAATCTCTCTAAACCCTTACAAATATGAGAAAAAACAACAATATTTCCACGTCTGAGAACTTAATTTTATTTAAAATCATATTGTCTTAAAAATATAAAAAATAAAAAGAAAATAGCTGAAAGACCAAGATAGGAAAAAAATTTTGCCTAAAATCTAACTGAATTAGAGAAAGAAAAAAATAATTCAACATTTAAAAAGTTGAAAAGCAGGGGTTCTAGGAAAGAATATTTTTTTCATGCAAGATTTTAATCAATTCTTTAGCAGAACTATAACTGAACTGGAAACCTACCAAAGAAGTCAGTTTCAGTCAAGGAAAAAAACTTGTTAAACAAAAAAAACAAGCATTACCTTGTCCACTATAACCATAATTGTAACAAATCCAACCTTTATCACCAAAAGGTTTTAACTCTATCCTAATTCCACCTTCTCTATAGGGTCTAAGTCTGCGTTTTTTTGCCACGATTTCCAATTCTTTCATAAACAAATTAGGTCTTACTTCTTTACATCCTTGAATAATCTCTTGAGTGACTTGAGGATCGGGTTCAGTTTAACTGTTTCTTTCATTCTATTTTGAAATAAAATGAGATTAGTAAATTCTTTAAAAAAATAAGAACTATAAAGAGATTCCTACATAAGTTCCACCAAGGATAGCTTCATATTTTTCTTCATTTTCATCTTTAGTGCAAGTGATGAAACAAGTTTTTTGTCCTTCATTTCTTTTGAATTTAAATCCAATTGGCTTGTCCAAGTATATTTTTAGCGATAACCACTTGTCCTCCAATAGGAAAGAGTTTGTTTTTTTCATCATCTTCAACAAGTTCTTTTGCTCCTAATTCTGAGCAGTTGATAATGACATCAGTTTCTTTTTCGAAAACTTCTCAGAAATTATTAATAGTTTTTTTTCCCAAACTCCACCCAAGGAAATGTATTGATTAAACAAGTAATTCAAATATTTTGTTAGATGAATAGACACTAAAAAGAAAAAGAAAATAAATTGGTTGTTTTTTATGAAATAAGAAAAAATATTATTATTTATCAGTCTGATGTTTAACTCCAAAATAAACTCCTTTAGGCAAATCACTTTTTTCAATATTTTGGTAGGTTAATCATGCTCTTAAGCTCATTCAGTTGTGAAAATTCCCTCCTTAAACTAAGGATGTTCGAATCCTTTTTCATAATATTCACAAAAATCCTCTATCTTCATTATGCCATTTTGCGTTGATTCTTTCGCCAATTCCCAAAAATGGAAGAAAGTTTGCTTGTCAAATTCTGAAGATGATGTTTATTAGTTTTAGTTGCTTTTATCGATACATTTATTAAGAACATTTAATTACCTTGCTGACAAATGTCCTCGCGAATAACGAAACTTCTCCAATCGGCATCAGCTCTGATAAATTAACTTTGATTCGTTTTAAATAGGAAATTTAAAAATAACAAAAAAAATAGATTACTAACAGTGGACTAGTGTAGTAAGGATTTGAACTGTTGGGAAAGTCTCTAGCAATTATTTTACTTCATATCCCTCTTTTTTAAGGAAAAGGGTAGTGGTTAATTCAGCCAATACTGAATTATAACTTATATTTAAAGTTTGAAGTTTTTGTTATTTTGATGGGGATTTTAAATCTTGAATGAGCTGTTCTTTCACCATCTAATAATAAAACTGCAATTCCTGATGTTGCAACTGCAATAACAATTTCATTATTGCATCTTACTTTTGCAAAAGCATGTTGAACAGAAAGGTTTTTCCATAACCTCTAGGACCATCAACAAAAAATACTGTTTGTGTTGTATTTTCCATTTCATTTTCAAGTGTTTGGATGATGCTATCATAAATTTTTCTTTAATCAATATTTAAAAGATTTTCTTGATTTAAAAAAGCTTTTAAATTATCAAAATTGTAATTTAATTTTTCCATTATTAAATCTGATTTTTCAAATTCTTTATCTTGATCAACTAAAGAATAATCAAGTGAAGTAATAGAATAATCTTTTAAGCATCTCTCATATAGTAATAAAATTTTTCAATATCTGTTAATGTCTTTGTAATTATAATAGCAAAATCATTATCACTTAAATTTTCAGTATTTTTTAATTGTTGTTGATATTTAAAATCTTCATTTAAATCATTAATGTGATCCATTAAAAGTTTGAATGCATCTAATTCTCTTGGATCACAAAATAATAAAATAGAGGCAAATAATTGTTTTAATTTTGATGGCATCATGTAACTTGCAGCTTCTTCAAGACATTTGTTAAATTCTCCATTTTCTTCATCTAACAATCCAAGTTTCTGTGCTGTTTTCTCAAAACTATCATAAACTTTTCTATTTATAGTTTTTACATATTCATAAGAGGTAGCACCTTCAACTAAATTTAACAAAATAAAATCTTTCCTTATCCCTTGGACTGCAAGTATACATCCTTGAAATCACTTTTTCACCACCTCTTTTTCGTCGTTGCCAATTTCCATCTTTCCATATAAAATGTTTTGGAAAATCAACATATCATAAGTTATTTATAATTGGAGATAACATTAGGGTATCATCTAAGCCCCTCTGTATGAAAAAAATAACCAAGATGAGATGTTTCGATACTTCAAAATAAAGGAATGAAAATCTTTACTCACACCAAGATTCCACAAAATCTTCAGTGCATATACCAGCTCATGATGTTCGTCCCAATTAATTGGTAACCGAAAAACGCCAATAAGAAACATTCGATAAGCCTTGGAAACAGGCAAATCCATCCCCCATATTTGTACTTCAAGTCCTATACGCAAACAAAAATAAATATTTTATTAACTAGCACAAAAATCAAGACTAAGTTCTTTTATTACTTACCATGTATATGAAAAAACCAAGTACGCAAACGTCTCAGAACTTTGTAATCCCCATGATTAAATTTTTTAGCTATATCATTAAGAAGATCACGACTTCCAAAATATCCCTTTACATGGTCCTTTAAATAGCGAGGCAAAGTAGCCACATGATAGCTCTACCATACCTATTTCAAGTCCTTTATTGTCAGGCGACTGAAAAGAACCATCAACCTTCATACCCTTGGGTTTATCATCTTCGGGTTTGAGATTACGTCGTACAAATCGCTGATTTGCGCTAGCTTTAAGATGAACCTCTCCTCTATTTTTTGAAAGAAACTTGTATATTTTAATATAAGAAAAATGAAATGAAAAACAAATATTATTTTTGGTACTGGAATCATAAACATACGGTACATATATAACATGATCAGTGGTGTTTGTAAGATATTATAACATTGGATGAATCATAAGCGATCCCAAAAGCGCTTCATTTTTGTTAATACTATGAAAAGCTGATGCCATATTGAATACGTTTTTTGCGCTTCAAAATTAAGATGAATTAAAAAATAAATAATGAGATAAAATAAAACAGTACTTCTGCAAAATCAAAATACTTACAACCATAATAAGACATCTGTAACAAATATCATTTCTTTATTGTTTTTACGGTCAAATGTGACATTGTAGACATTCCTTATACTCATTTAACGAATTCTGTTATCGATTAATTAAAAAAATCAAATATAAATAACATTTTCGTTGAAAACAAATGATAAGTTGTACTTACAGTCTCTAATAGTGTAGTGAATAGATTTTCCGCCTCAGATGATAAATTACAATGCGGATATTCAATGCTGGAATTTAAATAATTCCAATCATCTTGTTCGATCCATTTTGACTTCCTGATCTTTGGGCCAATTGCGTATGATACCTAGACATGACGGGCTACATATAAATGGATACAATTGTACAGGTTAATTTCAGATTAGAAGTCATGAAGTGAAGAAATGTCAAACTTACTGTGATTTATGTAAATTTTCAGGACCACGAATTACTTCATTGATGGATTTGCCAGAAGGCAATAACCAAACATCACTTGGACTGTCTTCATCGGGATACTTTTTTATATGCTTTTGAAAAGATAACTGCCTCTCCAGTTCGATGTTTTGATCTATCTCGTGGTTGTTATAATCTAGTTCGTCATCCTCACAACTATCCACATTTTTTGCTTGTGTTGTGGTAGATGACATTGATGTACTATCAGTAGATTGGGATGGCTGAACATCATTGTGATCAAAGCTCATAGATCTTTCAGTATAATCGTCGCCCTTTTCTTTGGTCTTAGCCTATTCACGAAACAAATATAGAAAAAATTTTTGAGGAATTCACGTTAAACAAATCCTTATCGTCGTAGGGTTAACATTCTATGCTGACCTGTTTAGAGCTAACTGACCCCTTATTCTGCAGATATACAATAATAATTTAAAAAATGTTCACATAAAATTTAAAGTAACATAAAACGCTACCATTATAGCGACTTTTTTTGGAAGAGATAACTGTTTCTTCCGCTTTTCTCGGATAGGCATGACAGGTTGAAAGTCATCATCGGACTAAATACACAAAGAAGGTGTTAAAATTACCTTTATCAAACAGCCAATATTATGCTGATTCTCTCAATTTATAGAAAAAAAAGAGTTTCTATACCTCTTCCTGTTTTCTCTTAGAATTATTGACTGTTCCTGAATTAATCAGAGAGTTTATAGTACTCCCGGTAATTGTTGAGCTGTGTAGATGAATTATGGGTTTACTAGCTGGTTTACATTCGTAAGATTCTACCCAATTTCTGGCTTCTGACCGATCAACCTAGAATAAATAGAAATTTTAATTATATTCTTGACAAGTGACTCAAAATCCTCCGTCTAATTTTTATCCCACCAAGTCGCCCCGCAGGCTTAACATCAGATGAGCCCGCAGTTCACCTGGTGCCTCGGTGGTGCAAGTGCTGGGTCACCCCTCAGGTTTGAACATCAGACAAGCCCACAGTTTATCTGTGCCCCACACTTGCTTTGTAGCTCGACCCGCAGACTTGAATGATGGAGAACCCACAGATCTCCACCACGCTACTTATTTCTTTTCGTTCTAAAAAAGCTCTTATACTCGCCTTATATTTAGCCAGCAACTTTTTTGCCATATCATATCTTGGGCCTTTTTCAGATTCGAGGCTATCAGCTATAGTTTCAAGAGAGAGAAGGTAGACTTCTATTTTTCGCTGAAATGTTTCTTCACCGCATTCATCCAAAAACTCACGAATATTCCATTTCATAGGTTTTCGATCGAAATATTTGTGTACTTCGTTAATGTTCATTGTATCTAGTATGTTGATAGTTGGGCTGAATAAGAAAAAAGCGAAGAATGAGTTCTACAAAATCCAAGCCACTAATGATTAATTTTTATATGAGGTAGATCATTAAAGATGCACGATTTTAGCAACTCATTTTTTATTTAAAGTCACATGATTCTGATCGTTATGATACTAAATTTTGCAAAGAGAAAAAATTCGATCAAATATCCAAATAATTTTTCAGTGAAACGAATGAAATATATGATGCTATCAAAGAGGGAGGGAGTACGCGGATCCTAGGCCATTTAATGCGAGTCCCAGCACCCACATTTACATAAAATATCTATAATTAATAAAATTATTTCTCTATATCTAACTACAAGATTCTCGCCCCCATACTCTTTTACTACACCAGATTTCCGAAATAAATTATATAAATTATCCCAAACATATTTACAGAATTTTTGTCTATCTATATTACTCCTACCAACACAGACTATGTAAGATTATTTCTCACAAAAGAACTTCTCTGAGATGAAATAATTTTGAACCTATAGAAAGAATTCTTAAGAAGGTAAGGTGAGGATTCTGATTCACACTTACCGCTATACTTCATTTTCATAATGTTCAACACTGCCTCATATTTAATGAATCTGTTGCTTAAGAATGGGAAAAATTAGAAACCTTGTAATAAGATTTTTTTATCGTGTTGCTATTGCTGGAAAATTCGATATATTGCACACTGTATCTGGTGACAGAAAAACTACACTACAGATTAAACATGTGATAGTGATCACAATTTTTTTGGCGAATGTCAAATTTACAAGAAAGATAATATGTCCGCTTTATCTTTATAAATTCAGTATTTTTTTGCATACAATTTTCAGTATCTAGTATACGGAAATATTTACAAATTTATTACGTTTATTATACGTTTTTAAACATATTATTTCCGTATACTTTCCTTATACATATTATTTATATGGATTATGTTAATATGATCACATCACAAAAATCTAATCAACAGATTCATAATAAAAACTTTGACACTACCTATATATAAAGATCAACAAGAGGTCTTCTTTGTTGTAAAACTTTGAGAATATGTGGAAAAGTTCAAGAATATATGCAATTACTTGATTTTTGGATTCATGATATCTAACATAACTGTTAAAGATGGTTCCCATAATTATTTTTAAAATTTTTAACTAGTTGCAACTAAAGTTGCAACACTTTGAGTTGCAACTATTTATGAATTTTTATATTAAAATAAATTTACAAGGAGTTGCAAACAAGTTGCAATTTACCGAATTGAGAATTACAATGTTTGATTTAACCATTCTAGCCTGATTTTAATCCCAAATAATATTTCAAAAAAATTTTACTATTCT